AACTGTAAACTTTTTTCATTAACTGTGTAAGTATAACTAGATGTAAATCTTGAAGAGAATTGCAATTACCCTTGCGATTGTGATTGAAAAAATAGAGAGAAATCCATTGTGATTGCAATTGTGGATATAGAACAATACAGCCTTGCATATTGAGATTTTGATTGGGAAATATTTTTGGTGCTGGATTGTGATTGCAATTTTGCTAGTACATTTTTGATTGCAAGTAACAACCCTGCTAAAGAAGCCGTTTTTGGTGAATAATTTGAATAATTTCTAAGAACCGACTCCGCGTGATTTTATTTCAAAGGAGAGCTGAATTTCCTGGAAATTCGGAAGTGCACTTTTTTCTTTCTTACAAAACGTCAGAGTCAAACTAACGGCATATTCCGAAGGGAATACGAAGAGAAAAATCTCAATCATAACCACATGCAATGTTGCATTTATACCTTTTCATACAGCGGAAAGCAATCATGAATCCCACCTGATTCAGCTAGAGCGACGTTCTATTATACAAATAATACATGCTGAGCGAAAATAACATTCTCAAGGCAAGGTACTTCAGATGCACCTTTTCATTCGGGAACAATGAGAAAAGTTGCCTTTTCAGCTCTGAGATTAATGTTTCATCGCATAATGAGATACTGTGATTACTGCGACTCTTTGGCGAAGACATAAATATATTTTAGTCTGCAATTCTTTTCGATGAGGTTATACGAGGAAGCATCAATCCAAATTCTGGATGAGACAGCTTTGATGCCAATTCAGGAATGGTGAACACATGATTATAAGCATTACTTAGAAAAAGGAACCGTTTGCGAAAATTTTGCGTAGATTGCATGGTTTATGGTGCTATTTTCCGCGGAAAGCGGTAAAAAAAAATCCCTTTTTTTTGCGGAAAATTGGATCGCAAGAAAAACGCGCGAATATTCATCATCAGCTTCTAAGATAATTTATCAGTGAAAAACTGAAAACCAATATTTTTTTCTCAATTTTCCGAAAATAAATTGTTCAGCGTGAAATTCCGACATATAAACCGAGAATTTTCACTTCGAGTGCGATTATGATAGTGATTTATATAATTTCTGAAAATAATCTAGTAATTCGTGGTATTTTTGAATAATTTTCTTCGTCAGATAATTGAATTAAAAAATAATTATAATAATTACTCACCGATTTTTCAGCTCCGGATTGCGGCAAAATGTTCATGTAAGATTCTCGTCCAACCACTTTTCGAAGATCATGTTTTTCGACTCTGTCTTCAACAATGATTTTTTTCTTGGTATCCAAAGATGTCATTCCATGATCTGAAATGACCATCACGTTCAACTGAAAAATGAACAATTGGCAAATTTATTCCTGCAACGATTTTGAAAGATTTTTCTCTGGGATAAAGAATATTCATGGAATTTCCATCTTGCCCCGACGGCAAAAACTCACGTGATTCGCAATTTTTGAGTTATTCAGTACCGAGAGAAATTCTTCCAAAACGGCGTCCGTTTTCCGAACTGCATCAAATGATTCTTCGGAATCTGGTCCGAATTTTCGACCGATGTTGCCCACGAATTCGTTATAAACCTGTCAAGAAAAATGCAGTAACCACTATTACAAAAATACATAAAAATAAAAAAGCACCTTCGGGGTCTCAAATTTTTGAATTTCCATCAAATTCCCTCCGATAGAAATCCCTGAACTTTTCTCCAGTCCGAATTTGGAAGAGCTCATCACACTTTAATAATACTGACTAACTCCATTCACGAGATTCAAGGTATCCCAGAGCAAGCGGAAATTTAATTAATTGAAGTACTGTAGTAAACTTTCAGAACAATAAAAGGAAAAGAGAAAAAGACTTGTGGAAATTTCCGGTTCACACATTTAATTCGTATCACGCGTGTCCCGAATCCCTTTGAAGCCTTATGGGAATCCATTAAGAATTAAGGACTGAACCAGGCCACTTTTCTCCAGTATAAATAAAGAAAATAGCTGCCCAAGAAAAAAATCCAGTGACGCCCACAGAAAAAATTCATGAAAGCAAAATTAGCGCTTTCTAAAATAAATTTTCGGTGGATCTCTGACGAAAATCTTGAGAAGCGTCGTTTGAATTCAGCAGAGGCATTTAGCAGCAGCATTTAAAATGCTTTATTTTATTTTATTGGAAAATGTATAAATTCACCATGGCGAGGTTGACATTTCCTTCTAGGTCTGACATGGCGGCGTCCAAATGCTCTTTGAGATCTTTCAAATCCCCACAGCGACTCGCATTGTATCCGGAACACATTTTAGGCAAGCTGCCTTTGAAATCAACGTCGCATCTGAGGATATGCAATCAAACTTACAATGATATATCAAGCACAATAATTGGATCTTTGGCGAGAATGTGGAATCCACCTCTCCTACCTGCTCCATTGGTAAAGCGACACGTTGCGCCCGAGTCTTTCTGCCGTGATCCAAATGGGCTCCGCATTTTGCCACCACTTGCGCCACCGGGTGGAATTGGTGTTGGTCAAGTCGAACACGTCCTCAGTGGACCGGTCGTAGAAGTAGTTTCCGATTATCCCGTGCTCTTCCGGCCACTGCCCTGCAAACAAACCCCCCATCACAGATGATATGAGCCAACCATGAACTGCCGGAAATAGGCTTATTTTTTTTCTTTTCTTTATAGATCTACAAAACAAGGAACACCTTCTTCTTCTTCTTCCAGTTTCTCTGTACTATATGTATACCAGGGCTGGTTCATAAGTTTTGAGACTTGTTGAAATAGATCCAACAGAGTTTTAATAATTTCAAATTGTTTTTAGTTAAATAGCCCCATTACTGAATTTGGCAACACTTCAGGGGTGTTCAACATAATCTCTACCATCAATTTAAATGCTTTTTTCATTCCATGAATTCATCAATGATCAAAACAGTGCCAAAAATCAAGTTTTGATCAGTGGATCAAGCTGCTCTTTGACAGCAGAAATGAGGCTGTTCTTGTCCTCTAAAGCAGTGTTACCCAACCTGTGGTGCATGTGCTGGAGCTGGTCTTCAGAAGTTTGTTTTAAATTCAACAACAAAGCAAACATCAGAAGTAGCAATGAAGTCTGTTATCTTCATTTGAAATTTCATACAGACAATGGCAGTGGAAATTATCTCATGAAAAATAAAACTTGGCTCTTCTCCTAACAATGCTTTAAATAAATGTTCACTGGCTGAAAGAAATGATTTTGATTTTTTCATTCTGAGAAACCTTTCTTCAAGCCATGAACATTTCTAATTTTTCGATGACATTCAGTTATATAGCTGACTCACTGGTGCTCAACATAATCTTTTTTTTTACGCAGAATAAAGCAGAAAATTTTAAATAGCAGCCTTAAAGTCTTTCAAGGAAAACATTTTTTGAATCTGCAAATATGTTTTGAAACTTTGCTGGTTTGCAGAAAGCCGCTTGGGAATATTCCTGTCTGCAAAGATTTTATGGAAATTTGACAGTCTGTGGGCCTAAAAAGGTTGGGGAGCCCAGCTCTGAATCTCATGCCACATTGGTGGCTGTGATGGCAGCTGTTGATTAAAATGGCAGAATTACCTTTGGAAGACCTGGAGGCAATCCTTGGAATTAATGCCACATTGATTTCAAGAATTCTGAGGGGAAAGCTGAGCTACAACAACAAAATCTGCAGGAAGGGCGCCTCATCTTTTGAGTGGAGAGAAAAACTCTGCCAAGGAGAATTTTGCAAAGCATTCAAAAAAAATGTGTCAAACACGGCTGATTTTTTTTCTTGTGCCAAAGAATATGTTTTCCCTGAAGAATAATTTTTTTTTTTGAATTATATGCCATTTTAATTTCTATTCCAAGAACTTTTGTTGGACCCCTCGTATGTATGCAGGTGGGGATGCAATAAACAAACAGGGTTCGGCAAACTCCAGTTCCGGTGGAGATCATCTCGACTGGATGAATCGGACCAACAGGGTAAACAGACCGGAATTCACGGTTTTATAAACGGTTTTCATAAATCTGGGCTATTGCCAATGTGAGAGCTTTCTAGCTTTCCTTTGACTGATATGCGGCGAATTTTTTTTAATGGCGCAAGGCTTTGTGGTTAGAATAAGAAAATTTGATGAATATTTAATCTGATGAGGTAATTCATGGTATCCAACATCCAAATATTTTTGCTGATGAAGACTTCAACAAAAGTGTAAAATAAGTAGGTAAAAGCTCAATTAATGAACTCAGTTAGTCGAAAAAAAGTTTGGAATTTTCGCAAAAAAGCTCATTTTTCATGGATACATATTTATTTTATTTCGATATTTTAAGTGAGTCACTTGACATAATATCGAGAAAAAAACAGTTCAAGTTTTTTCAATTCTTGTCGAGATAGCACTACTTTCTAAAAAACAGAACTGCTTATTTTGTCTGGCAAATTCTGCCCTTGAATATAAGTTTCTTCTTTATATCTTTCGGCTAAAACAATGCCAGTTAAAGGGGGAAACACGTCATTGGAAAGAGGATACAGTTTTAATGCTTTTAAATCACACTTTCCATATAAAAATGTTTTTCTTTAAAACGGATTACACCCTTGAAAAAGGAAGAGCACTGGTCTGTGAAATATAAAAGAAAAACAGCAAACTTTTTTTTCCGAAATGACCTGAATTCAAGAGCTTCGTTGAATATTCAGCGAAATTCTCCAGCGATTCAGGATTACCGCAGCAGCTTCAAATTCAGGGCACAAAAAACACAATTATTCCCTCTAAATTCCAAAATATTTATGAAGGTAAAAAAAAGTCGGAGACGCGAGCTTTAAAATTTGAAGCGGAAGATTGAACTTTTATCAAAGTAAAAAAGTACCGGTGGAAATTGTGGTCCAAGCTGGATATCGGTGTGAAGGAAAGCAGCTTTCCAGGTAATCTGCTTTTGATCCTTCCATTTCCATCTTCTGCAACGCTTGCAAATTTTCAGCATCCCGGCTTACAAAATCCCATCGAAACCTTCAGAAAGAACAGTAAATAATCGAAATATTTAATTCCATGTTTGTTTGTTTTTAGCTGCAAGAAAGATTTCTTAAATGGCAGTCATCAAATCAAATATAGGAGTTGAAGTTCGAATCTCAAGAGGGAAACACAAATTGCTGCGGGGAAAGAAAATCTGTCAATAAAGGAACAATAGAGGAACAAAATACCAAATTTGAAAAATTGCATTTCGAGGAAAAGGAGGACTATTCAATAAGAAACGCGTTTTACAGAGAAAAGAAGGGGAATGAAATTAACTTCCGTGCTTTCACAAGAAGACGATGAAAAAATGATTTCGGACAAACTTCAATTTATAACAAATAACATTTTTATTGAAATCTTCGTGCTTTCATCGACAGTTATCGCAGAATTTCCAACAGGCTCTTCTCTTTTAAAAATGAAGTCAAAGAAAAGATCCTTTTATTTCAACCTATTCAATCAGTTTTACTCTATTGAAAAAGATATATAGAATTTCTCTCAAAAGTTCCGTATATTATTTGAGCATATTCTGTAAAAAGCGTGCATGTTTGGAAATTAATCGCTAATTCCTTTCAAAAATTATTCTTCTGAATGAAGATGTTTCATTCTACAGCCCTTTATAGAGAATCGTGGAAGCCAAAGTTCCAAGAACACCTTGTAATTGAGTGATAGTAGAGGAACTCGTCTTCTTATGTAGATTGAAAACAAGCTGTGAATTAAATTGAAAATCCTCTTAATGGAACTAAATGAATTTGACCCAAAGGAGTAAAATCGTGGTTTGCGCCAGAAGCATTAATTTTCTCCCGAATTTATCAAGGGTAGATTATGCTCATGATTAGTTCAAAATTTATAGGGTCGACGAGCAAAATAAACTCATTTATCCCAGATATGTTTAATTTTCAGAAGGTCATCAATTGTGGAACTGAAAAAGGATTGAAGTGAGGCTGCTGATCTATTTTCTTTAAAATTTATTTTTAAAGTACATATTTGAATTGCGTCTGTATGATCACGCTTTTTTTTAAAGGAAAATTCAAGAGAGAACTAGAGAAAGACTGAAATTGATAGAGCTTGTCCTATTCATACGTGCCTTTCAAGCGGCTGTTTGGCATTTAGCCAGACGAAAAGTTTCAATTGTTCAGAGCAATATTTCAGACAGTCACACAAGAGTTTCTTCACCATTTTCCTGTTGAATCCGTTTCGGAAAAAATATTTAAAAAATCGAATTCCATCGAAATCCGAGTTCAGTTTATATTCGTTTCAGAGAAAATCGCCTAATTTAGTTCTAAGAGTGCATCCGTTACAAACGATTGCAGAAGTGTTCCACGAATTTTTTTGCAATGTCGATGTGATATGCTCTACTCACATAATGCCATGATGTAGTTTATTTCTGACCGTAAATTAAATAAATGGAGGAAAATGGGACTGAGATGAATGTCTTCTTCTTCGCTGCCAGTTTTTCTTCTTTTTTTCTTACCGAACTAATCAAAGTTTTGAACACAGCAGGAAAAATCGGCGAAATGTGCACGAGTCACGCTAAAAATACGTCTTATCCAATGTAAACTTGAAAAAAATAAAGCCTCGGCGGATAAATTTCATCGCATGCCTTAAAGCCATGAAAAAGAGTTTGGTCAAGCCAAACCATAAAGAACCTACACAACCTCATGGTGAGAATATTCTTATACACTTGAATGCGAGAATTTTGAAAGCAATGCAATTATTGAGAAAAGGTTTATGGCGACTGCATGCATATATATGAATGTTGTATGCGAGAATCTTGTTTCCCGACGACGATGTTCAGAAATTGCGAAAGATCGCGTGCCTTGAGAAAATGACCTCGGGGCAAAGGTCGCCTTTGAAATGCGATCCTTTGAAGGCAATACAGCATATGCAAGCAATGTTTATCTCTCTTTTTTCTTCCACTTGCTGTTGATGATCAAATGTTTCTTTGGTCTGTGTAAACTTCCTTATGTAAGAGGTCTTTTTATAACCGCATGTGAAGCATTTTTAGTGAAGTCATTCACGCACTGGAATTACAGGTCACAGATGGAAAAAGTGATGCATGGAATCGTAGATTTTTCCATGAAGCAACCGAAAATTGATCAGGAATCTTAATTTTTCCAAATTTCCGAAAAAATAATTTGTCATGGAATATTTCAAAAATGCCACCCATAAAATGTAAGTTTCAGTATGGCTGGCTGATCAGAAATCAATCCAAGGCGCGAAGAACTAGGACAACTCTTACATCAGGAGCCTATAAAATTGCATGATATGTTGAAGTTGCTTTTTTCTTATGAACCTAATTTTGTTCAATTACGTTCTCTGGATCTGGAAGTGATATTGATTTGATTTTTATATTGCAGTTTAATCATATAAAATGTTTTGTTGTCCTTGTTTTCTCTGACTTTAAAAGGACTGTGAGTTGGATGTATTTTATAAAAAATATATTCATACAGGTGATTTAGTACAGACAAGAACAAACACACAATACGGTATATGAACAAGACAAACATAAACATACATAAATGTTTTAAGTCCAGTTGACTGAGAAACACAGACTATATAGTTTAAACTGAGAAAGTTTAACAAGCTAAGCCTTTACTTTAATAGGCAAACTCTTAAATGGTTCTGATTGCTAAATGGAAAATATTCCATTTAAATAGGGAAAGTGAATGTCAGGAAGAGGACACACCAGTTGTGGCGCCGCGTTTCTCCAAGATCACGTGACCCGAGCATGCCATGCACACTTGGGCACGTTGACAATAGCCGTACACGGGTACGGCGTGGTACGGGCCCGGTATGTCGCAACACCGACTACCAGGTCGGAGATCGAGGAAAGGAGGAGGAAGGGTCGAAGAGCGTGGCGTGGGCTCCGAAGCCCACAGAAGAGTGTGTGCAGCGATTCAGAGTGGAACTCTGTTGTGTTGTTGTCTGTTTTGTCTGAGATGTTACTTGTCTTGAAATTCTGTCCAAAGCTTTAAGCCTGAAGTGTGTTGTGAGTCTGAATTAAAGAAGCTAACTTCTTGGGACTCCCTTCTGGAGGATCCGGCCGGTAAAGGCTGAATCTGACTTTTATTTCTACTTTGAATCCCTTGTCGATTTCCACCCGACAAACTGGTGGCCAGCGGGTGTCTTTTTAGAGGCCTTACCCTGGTGTTTTCTTTCTTACGGTGTTCAATTTTACGTGTTCGATTCACGCGGGATTTTGTGTGCCCTGAGCCCTCCAGGTGCGACGCGTATTAAAATTGTACTCACCGCTTTTGAGTCCCATTGCTTCCGTTTGAAAAATGTCGGCCATACCACCGACACCACCGATTGCGAGTAGGCTGCGCGCCGGGCGTC